CATACCTGACCTAAGGAGGTTTTGTTAATAAGCTAGAGGAAAATAAACAAGCTCTCTCTCTCAATTCCAACTCCATCCCCCATCAGACATCCACCATGGAAGGAGTGTATGGAGAGGTACCTCTACTATTGCTGGTTGGGATGGAGTGGTCCTATAGCATCTTGCATAGTTAGGAAAGCCTGACTTAATCAGAGAAGCCAGCAAAAAAGAGGAAATACAGGAGGAAGGGAAGAAAGTGAGAAGGAAGAAAGAAGAAGAGAGTGGTAAAGAATAAGATGGAGGTGGGGCAGTGTAGAAACAGAATGCAGTCCAAAGTCCAGCAGACTGAGTTCCCTCAGTCTTTAGTAGCCAAAGCTCTGTCCTCAGCATGTCTTCCATTTCTCCCCTCCACCATCTCCCCCTCTTCTCTCCACATGGTTTTCCATTTCCTTTCAGTCCTGGTTCAGTCTCAGGAGTGTCTCAGTTCCACCTCAGAGCCAAAGTAAGGCTCCCGTTGACGTCTGAGGTCATACATCTTATAGGCCAAGGCCATTATAGCCACAAGCAACACCAGGCCCAGGAGAAGCAGTACCCACTGCCCTGCCGTGGCCTGCCCAGGCTCCAGCTCCATTCCCAAGAAGCTGACTTTGCCACTGTTGGGGGCACTGGCGGCACCTGGGGGTAGGGAAGAAAAACATATGAGAAGAGGAGAATGGGAAGGGGGGAGAATGAGGTTCTGGCACATGTGTGGCGATCAGGGCAAGGAAAAAAGGAGTGGGGCTCCTGGCCCTTGGATCTAGAGCCAGGCCCTCGGGAGAAATGGCCATATCTGGGCACTGGTCTCCAGCCTACCTTCCCGTCCCAGATGCAGGTTCCTTGCCAATGCCCAATGAGGGACTCATATAAGCTCTGGGCCTAGTATTCACAGAAAGTTAGAAGCAGAAGGAACCTTGGAGATCTTTTAATACAATTCCCTTATTTTATTATTAATATTATGTCTCCTTTGGGGATGGGAGTAGAAATAAGGAAATTTTCATGGAGGAAGTGGTGCCTGAGCTAAGCCTTGAAGGACGATATAGATTTTGAGAGGTGGAGAGGAGAAAAGTTTTAGGAAATTAATCTAGCAGTGGTGGGGAAGACGGATGGGGAAGCGGTGCATGCTGAAGCACAAAGACTGTAAGTAGCATGGGGAAGTGAAAAGAAGACTGGATATAGGAGGCAGATAACCTGGGTCAAAATTCTAGTTCTGCTACTTATTATCCATATGATCTTCCTGTCTCTGGACCTCAGTTTCCCATTCTGCAAAATTCAACTCCTTCATTTTACAGGTCCAGAGACAGAAAGAGATTTTGCCTAAGGTCCCAGAGTGAGTGAGCAACAGACCTTGAACCCTATTGATTAAACTCTGACCAGAGAGCATTGCCTAGGGGAGGAGGGCAGGTAGGGTACCACCTCTACTCCCAAATGGAGTACATCTCTGACACTCTGATAGCAGATGCAGACTGGGGTCAGGTTTGTAACAGTTAGAAAATTCCTTGCTCTGAATTTGCTTGGACTCAAGCCTGTGTCTGGGTGTAGAAAACTACAGCCTTGGGTGAGATGTAGGGGCTGAGGCCGGAGCAGGGATGGGAGCAGTACCAGAATATGGAGTCCAGTCATACTGAGGCCAGCCCAGTGTCTCTTGCTGTTCCTTGTTCTGGGTGATGAGCCAGTCCAGCAGGGGCTGGAAGTAGTCCACGATAGCTGTGGCTGACATGTTGGGCTGCCCTGTAAGTAGCATCATAGCCTCTGGCCACGGCTTACTGAGTCCCAGTTTCATAGCATCCCTGGGTAGGGTTTGAGGTTTGGGGAAGATGAAAAGAAGAGGGAAACAGACAGTTAGGCCCCCTGCCCTGTGGTTACAATCACCATACAGTGATCTTTCCCTCTAGCTTAGATTCCCCATTGAGAAGTGACTGTGTCTAGGTCCTACAGGATCAGATTTAGAACTGGAAGTCACTTAGTACAATCCTCTCATTTTACAGATTAAGAAAATGAGTAGTCAGGGCAGCTAGGTGACGCAGTGGCTAGAGTGCTGGCCTTGGAGTCAGGAGGACCTGAGTTCAAATCCAGCCTCAGACACATAACAATTACTAGCTGTGTGACCCTGGGCAAGTCACTTAACCCCATTGCCTAGCCAAAAACAAAACAAAACAAAACAACAAAAAAAAGGAAAATGAGTAGTCAGGCAGTAAGGTAGATTCTAGCATATTTAAATAAGATTTAGGATGATAGAAAATTAAAAATTAGCAAAGGAATTAAGCTAATTCTCTAAAGAAATACAATTTTTGGGGCAGCTAGGTGGCGCAGTGGATGGAGCACCGGCCCTGGAGTCAGGAGGAGGGCCTGAGTTCAAATTCGGCCTCAGATACTTGCCACCTACTATCTGTGTGACCCTGGGCAAATCACTTAACCCCACTGCCTAGCAAAAAAAACAAAAAAACAAAAAAACAAACAAAACACCAAAAACAAACAAAAAAAAACCCAACTAAACAAAAAAAGAAATACAATATTTTAAAGAAAGAAAGCATGTGGCCCCAAGGATCTTTTATTTCCCCTGCCCAGAAAAGGGATCATTGTCCTTATCTTACACAGAGACACACTGAGGCACATAGCTGGCTTGGTTTAGGCAAGAGGTGGTGGGCAGACCAGGGAAGAAGCTAATCTTCTAGGTCCACACCCATAATTCCTGGTGTTAGATGATTCAGAAACACCAATCGACTCCCTCCCCAGAGGCTACAGACTATGACTGGAGGTTGGATCAGAAGGTGGAACTTTAGCCAAAGGACAAACTTTGAGAACTCACGCCAAGAGCTGCCCTGCCTTCTTTGACTGATAGATATCACACTTGTGCAGTGCACCTTGGTGGCCAGCGGCTCGGCACAGGGCCTCGTGGAACTGGAACTGAATCACAAAGCTGACAAAGTATCTGGGAAGAGAAGAGAGAACAGGGTAAGACCAAGCCAAGGGATCTAAAAGCCCCTCTTTCTCAGCACTACCTATGCAGTGCTATGGTCAGGCATGGCAGCTCTTCCCTATCTATAGGTCCTAAATATTCTGTGGGCAGCTAGGTGGTGCAGGGGATAGAATGCTGGACCTGGAGTCAGGAAGACTCCTCTTCATGAGTTCAAATCTGGCTTCAGATGCTTACTATGTGACCCTGGGCAAGTCACTTAACCCTGTTTGCCTCAGTTTCCTCATGTGTAAAATGAGCTGGAGAAGCAAATGGCAAACCACTCCAGTACTTTTGCTATGAAAACCTCAAATGCAGTCATGAAGAGTCAGACACAACTAAAAACAACTGAACAACAACAACAAAATATTCTGCTGTGGTTTAAGAGTATGATATAGGTGAACTGGATTGCAGAGGCCATTCCTGAGAGCATGTTCAGATATTCCCTTCCTAGTTCCAGTGGAAACCTGGAGGGACTCTACTTCTGGCCACATATAGGGGCTTGTGTTGATAGATGACAAAGAGTTCCCTATATGGCTGCCAAGTTGAAACTCAGTAGATATATAAGTAAAACCTCCACCTCAGGCATGTCTGGTTCTTTGATAAAGGACAGCTATTGGGACAGAGTGTGTGTGTGTGTGTGTGTGTGTGTGTGTGTGTGTGTGTGTGTGTG